TTTTTTTTTTAATCTCTCTAGGCTACAATTTGGATAATTTCAAAAATATTCCATTCACTAATTCTTCACTTTGTCTCATCTTCCACTTAGTTTAGTGCTTGTTTGTAACAGAGTTTCACTCTGTGTCCAGGGTAGAGTGCTCTGGTATTTTAGCTCACCGCAACCTCAAACTCTTGGGCTCAACTGATTCTCTTGTCTCAGTCTGCCAAGTAGCTGGGACTACAGGTTCCCGCCACAAGGCCAGGCTGGTCTTGACCAACTAGCTCAGGCTGGTCTTGAACTCCTAAGCTCAAGCTATCCACCTATGTTGGCCTCCCAGTGTGCTAGGATTACAGGCATGAGCCATTATGCCCAGCCCCAATGTTTGAGACAATCGATTTTCCTTGAATCCCTTTAGAGTGTATCAGCTTTATGAGGAGAAGCCTATTGAATTAGGAAGGGTCTCAAGTCCCATAGGACCATGATAACAGATGCTCAGATTCATTCAGCTTAACCCAGCAGATACTCTTGGTATTTGATGAAAGGTGGTTCTTTTGGTTACTTTTACCTGCCCCCATTCTTTACCCCACCGTATTCCTTACTTTTGCCTATTCTTGAATGCATTTTAAAAAATGTTCTTAAACTTTTAATTCTTAATTTTTAGTTGATTTTCATGAAAGTTTTAAGTAGATTATCATGATTGCCTAGTTTAGGCTATAACATTATATAAACTAGCAGCATTTTATCCACCTAACAATGCTTACCTTCTTCAAACCATACCCAAAGAATCTCTGACTCATACATCTTTATATATTAATGGTGTGGAGAAATCCAAGTTCAGGGCCTTTAATGAGTCAACTGCCCTGTTTTTCAGTATACCATGACAACCATAAAGGTGATCTCTGGCTCCTCAACCCGCAGCCATTTCTACATTGTACGCTTGTAGAAATATGCCTGAGAGAAGGAATGAGTTACAGTTACCCAGAAGTAAGGACACGCTGACAGTGCCTCCCCCTTTGGAGTGTGGAATGAGAAACAGTATCATACACTCTGGAAATGGTGTTTTTAAAATAATAACAACATTTAAGATAATAAAATAATAATGCTTCAGGTTCAATATAACTTAACGAGGTACATGGGCTGTGAACTTCACCAATTTATATCAAGATTTCAAGTTCCAAACAATTAACTTAGAAACCAGCTTCTGGATGCAACCCTCTACACAGCTTCCTTTTTTTGTTCTTAGAAATTTATTAATAGTATCACCACTGGCT